TGTCCCGGTGGCCAGCGGGCCGTGCGGTCACGGTTTTACATGTATTTCTATGGAATTTATCCGGAGAAGCCGCTGGGTTCTCGCACCGTAGCGGGGACATCGCGGCTCGGCCCCGGTGGTGCCGTCGTTGCGGGTTCAGAGCGCTTTGAATGTTGCGGGTTCAGCGGGCTCTGCCGCTTTGGGGGAGTTTGGGGATATTTTATTATTACAGGAAAAACCCAACAAACCCGACAAAAAGCAGCGAGCGCATTTAAGTGTCTGTATTTTATTTTCGTTCCGGGCATTGAGGTGGATTTTCTCGCGGCTGTGAAATCCGCCCCTGTGCCTTGTCCCTAATGAGTTCATTAGAGGCAATCAGAGCGGGACAATTAGGGACGCATGGTGACCAAGTGTAAACTCAAGTGTTGGGGGAAACTGCTGCGAATTGTTCTGTTCCACCCGGGAGAAGCGTGGATCTGCGGGCGAAGGAACCGAGGTGGGAAACCAGCGATTTCCCCGCTCCGCAGGGAAAAAAATATAAAAATCAGAATATATCTATAATCAAAAATAGCGCTGCAAAATCGATTTGAGTTCGAAAAGAGCGAGATAAGGTCGGAATTTATTTGCTGTCACTTCTCTCGGGCTCCTTCCCGCCGCCTCCCCGAGCCTGGCTGCTGCCGCTCTGATTCCCGAGCGGTGATTTTTGGGTTTCTTACACTGTAATTTTGCCTTGCCCTCCTTGCAATTTGTGCGGTTTCGAAAGGCTTTAAACAAAGATATTTTTTGCCCCCAAAGTCGGGCTGGGATTTTGGGCGGCTGCTGGCACCGAGGGTCCCTTTCCCGCTCGTGGGAACCCGGCGGGGCTCTTAATTACCGGAGATTTTCTTAATAAGAAAGGAAACGATTTTATGCGATAACTAAAGGGAGGGAAAAAATTAAATTATGAGGCAGATCCTCTACAAGGAGGGATGGTTAAAAATGATCTGCGATGGCAAAATTGATTGGGGAGGTTCTTCGGGTGTTTCAAAATTGTTATTTAGTTCTGACGGAAATAATTTTGAATGTTCGGGGAGGGTTTCATCCACCGAGAAAATGTGCGGAGATATTTTGTTTGGGAAAACAAATAATGGATTCAGCGAGATAAGCTGATACTTTTAATGTAAATGTATGACCATAAGAGAAAACTTCTATTTTTTTTTTTTCAGGAATAATTTGAGAACGACTTCACACTTTTATGTTCGGTTTTCAAATAAATCACATTTCTCGTAACAACTCGGGCTGCGTCTCATTGTACACAAGCAAATGGGATTTCTTTAACGATAAAAGTTTATAAAATGCTGGGATTTTATAAAAGAGAGCTTGAGCAAAGCCGCCCCTGTGGTGTCGCAGTGCTGTCCCTTCCTAGAAGCCTGGAGAAATATCCTCGATGGAATCTTACCTCCCCTCGGCTGAAAACTGTACTGAGCTGAATTTCTACAGAACCACCAGAAGCAGCAAAAGTTCTTTGCTTGGTGCAGCTGGGCACCGAGCAGAGACCGAACCAGCGGGCTCGGAAAAACCCAAAATTCGAATGGCTTGAATAAAACAAAACAAAATAAAATAAAAATTAGTATTATGAAAAATTCGCTGGGGAGCGCGGGGAAAGGAGCCCCTTGGAGGAGGAGGAGAGCGGGAGGCGCTTGGAAATGCGGGATTTTCCCCGCGGGGCTCCCTTCGCCCGCTTCTCCGGGGCAGCCGCCGCTTTTCCTCTCGCAACCTTTACCGGCAGCGGAGATTTCGGGGCGCCCCGGGGGCCGTTCCAGGGGCCGTTCCCGGTGTTGTTCCTGTGGCCGCTCTGGGTCAGCTCCGGAGCCGTTACCGGTGTCATTCCCAGGGCCGTTCCCGATGTCATTCCCGGGGCTATTCCCGGGCTGTTCCCGGTATCGTTCCCGGGACTGTTCCCCGGGCTGTTGCCGTTGTCGTTCCCGATGTCAT